TGGCAGATGATAAACATGGAATAGTGGCTAAGTGGCAGATGATAAACATGGAACAGTGGCTAAGTGGCAGATGATAAACATGGCTAAGTGGCAGAATGGCAGATGATAAACATGGAATAGTGGCTAAGTGGCAGATGATAAACATGGAATAGTGGCTAAGTGGCAGATGATAAACATGGAATAGTGGCTAAGTGGCAGATGATAAACTGGAACATGGAATAGTGGCTAAGTGGCAGATGATTAACATGGAATAGTGGCTAAGTGGCAGATGATAAACATGGAACAGTGGCTAAGTGGCAGATGATAAACATGGAATAGTGGCTAAGTGGCAGATGATAAACATAATACAAGTGGCAGGAATAGGAATGTGGCTAAGTGGCAGATGAATATATGGAATAATGGCTAAGTGGCAGATGATAAACATGGAATAATGGCTAAGTGGCAGATGATAAACATGGAATAGTGGCTAAGTGGCAGATGATAAACATGGAACAGTGGCTAAGTGGCAGATGACAAACATGGAACAGTGGCTAAGTGGCAGATGATAAACATGGAACAGTGGCTAAGTGGCAGATGACAAACATGGAACAGTGGCTAAGTGGCAGATGATAAACATGGAACAGTGGCTAAGTGGCAGATGACAAACATGGAACAGTGGCTAAGTGGCAGATGATAAACATGGAATAGTGGCTAAGTGGCAGATGACAAACATGGAACAGTGGCTAAGTGGCAGATGATAAACATGGAATAGTGGCTAAGTGGCAGATGATAAACATGGAATAGTGGCTAAGTGGCAGATGATAAACATGGAATAGTGGCTAAGTGGCAGATGATAAACATGGAATAGTGGCTAAGTGGCAGATGATAAACATGGAATAGTGGCTAAGTGGCAGATGATAAACATGGAATAGTGGCTAAGTGGCAGATGATAAACATGGAATAGTGGCTAAGTGGCAGATGATAAGCATGGAATAGTGGCTAAGTGGCAGATGATAAACATGGAATAGTGGCTAAGTGGCAGATGATAAACATGGAACAGTGGCTAAGTGGCAGATAATAAACATGGAATAGTGGCTAAGTGGCAGATGATAAACATGGAATAGTGGCTAAGTGGCAGAATATATGCGTGGCTAAGTGGCAGATGATAAACATGGAATAATGGCTAAGTGGCAGATGATAAACATGGAATAGTGGCTAAGTGGCAGATGATAAACATGAATAGTGGCTAAGTGGCAGATGATAAACATGGAATAGTGGCTAAGTGGCAGATATATGCGTGGAATAGTGGCTAAGTGATAGAATAAACATGGAATAGTGGCTAAGTGGCAGATGATAAACATGGAATAGTGGCTAAGTGGCAGAATAAATGCGTAGCTAAGTGGCAGATGATAAAAATGGAATAGTGGCTAAGTGGCAGAATATATGGAATGTGCTAAGTGGCAGAAAATAAACATGGAACAGTGGCTAAGTGGCAGATGATAAACATGGAATAGTGGCTAAGTGGCAGATGATAAACATGGAATAGTGGCTAAGTGGCAGAATATGGCGTGGCTAAGTGGCAGATGATAAACATGGAATAGTGGGCTAAGTGGCAGATGATAAACATGGAATAGTGGCTAAGTGACAGAATACATGCGTAGCTAAGTGGCAGATGATAAAAATGGAATAGTGGCTAAGTGGCAGAATATATGCATGGCTAAGTGGCAGAAATAAACATGGAACAGTGGCTAAGTGGCAGAAAATAAACATGGAACAGTGGCTAAGTGGCGAGAGACAAACATGGGACAGTGCCTAAGTGGCAGATGATCAACATGGAACAGTGGCTAAATGGTAGAAGATAAATGTTGGAGCAGTGGCTAAGTTCTAATAGCTTATTGTTATAGAATCAGATTTTCTGACTCTAACTGCACGATGATTCGCTCTAATAATCCAAGGCAAGAGTATGTGTCAAATTTTATACGAAAACGCCGCTGGAACTATGTCGGCCACGCCCTTAGAATGGATAAATCAAGACTTCCTTACCAAGCCCTCATTGGACACCACAGGGGAAAGATCTCGTGGAAAGACCAAGGGAAACCCTACGTAGAACTAATCATCAGGGAAGGCTCGCTCATGGGCCACTCAAACATCCAAGACCTACAACGGATTGCAACAGACCGCCGTGCATGGAGAGTCACGACCTCTGCCCTATGTGCCGCACTCGACACAAAAAGAAAGACTAAGGACTAAGTGGCTAAGTGGTAGAAGATAAATGGGGACAGTGGATAAGTGGCAAGAGATATAACATGGAACAGTGGCTAAGTGGCAGAAGATAAACGTGGCTAAGTGGCAGATAAAAACAAGGAACAGTGGCTAAGTGGTAGAAGATAAATGTGATGTGTAACAGTGGCTAAGTGGCAAGAGATAAACATGGAACAGTGGCTAAGTGGTAGATGATAAATGTGGAACAATGGCTAAGTGGCAGGAAATAAACGCAGAACAGTAGCTAAGTGGTAGAATATAAATGTGGAACAGTGGCTAAGTGGCAGATGATAAACATGGAACAGTGGCTAAGTGGCAGATGACAAACTTGGAACAGTGGCTAAGTGGCAGATGATAAACATGGAACAGTGGCTAAGTGGCAGATGACAAACATGGAACAGTGGCTAAGTGGCAGATGATAAACATGGAATAGTGGCTAAGTGGCAGATGACAAACATGGAACAGTGGCTAAGTGGCAGATGATGAACATGGAAAAGTGGCTAAGTGGCAGATGATAAACATGGAATAGTGGCTAAGTGGCAGATGATAAACATGAAACAGTGGCTAAGTGGCAGATGATAAACATGGAATAGTGGCTAAGTGGCAGATGATAAACATGGAATAGTGGCTAAGTGGCAGATGATAAACATGGAATAGTGGCTAAGTGGCAGATGATAAACATGGAATAGTGGCTAAGTGGCAGATGATAAACATGGAATAGTGGCTAAGTGGCAGATGATAAACATGGAATAGTGGCTAAGTGGCAGATGATAAGCATGGAATAGTGGCTAAGTGGCAGATGATAAACATGGAATAGTGGCTAAGTGGCAGATGATAAACATGGAACAGTGGCTAAGTGGCAGATAATAAACATGGAATAGTGGCTAAGTGGCAGATGATAAACATGGAATAGTGGCTAAGTGGCAGAATATATGCGTGGCTAAGTGGCAGATGATAAACATGGAATAATGGCTAAGTGGCAGATGATAAACATGGAATAGTGGCTAAGTGGCAGATGATAAACATGGAATAGTGGCTAAGTGGCAGATGATAAACATGGAATAGTGGCTAAGTGGCAGAATATATGCGTGGCTAAGTGGCAGATGATAAACATGGAATAGTGGCTAAGTGGCAGATGATAAACATGGAATAGTGGCTAAGTGACAGAATACATGCGTAGCTAAGTGGCAGATGATAAAAATGGAATAGTGGCTAAGTGGCAGAATATATGCATGGCTAAGTGGCAGAAAATAAACATGGAACAGTGGCTAAGTGGCAGATGATAAACATGGAATAGTGGCTAAGTGGCAGATGATAAACATGGAATAGTGGCTAAGTGGCAGAATATATGCGTGGCTAAGTGGCAGATGATAAACATGGAATAGTGGCTAAGTGGCAGATGATAAACATGGAATAGTGGCTAAGTGACAGAATACATGCGTAGCTAAGTGGCAGATGATAAAAATGGAATAGTGGCTAAGTGGCAGAATATATGCATGGCTAAGTGGCAGAAAATAAACATGGAACAGTGGCTAAGTGGCAGAAAATAAACATGGAACAGTGGCTAAGTGGCGAGAGACAAACATGGGACAGTGCCTACGTGGCAGATGATCAACATGGAACAGTGGCTAAATGGTAGAAGATAAATGTGGAGCAGTGGCTAAGTTCTAGGCTTATTGTTATAGAATCAGATTTCTGACTCTAACTGCACGATGATTCGTTCTAATAATCCAGGCAAGAGTATGTGTCAAATTTTATACGAAAACGCCGCTGGAACTATGTCGGCCACGCCCTTAGAATGGATAAATCAAGACTTCCTTACCAAGCCCTCATTTGGACACCACAGGGGAAAAGATCTCGTGGAAGACCAAGGGAAACCCTACGTAGAACTATCATCAGGGAAGGCTCGCTCATGGGCCACTCAAACATCCAAGACCTACAACGGATTGCAACGGACCGCCGTGCATGGAGAGTCACGACCTCTGCCCTATGTGCCGCACTCGACACAAGAGGAAAGACTAAGTGGCTAAGTGGTAGAAGATAAATGGGGAACAGTGGATAAGTGGCAAGAGATAAACATGGAACAGTGGCTAAGTGGCAGAAGATAAACGTGGCTAAGTGGCAGAAGATAAACAAGGAACAGTGGCTAAGTGGTAGAAGATAAATGTGATGTGTAACAGTGGCTAAGTGGCAAGAGATAAACATGGAACAGTGGCTAAGTGGTAGATGATAAATGTGGAACAATGGCTAAGTGGCAGGAAATAAACGCAGAACAGTAGCTAAGTGGTAGAATATAAATGTGGAACAGTGGCTAAGTGGCAGATGATAAACACTGAACAGTGGCTAAGTGGCAGAAGATAAATGTGGAACAGTGGCTAAGTGGCAGAAGATACAAATAGAAAAGGATCTAAGTGGCAGAAGATAAACGTGGAACAGTGGCTAAGTGGCAGAAGATAAAAATAGAAAAGGAGCTAAGTGGCAGAAGATAAACGTGGAAAAGAAGCTAAGCTAAGTGGCAGAAGATAAACAGGCACAAACATATCACGCTAACAGACAAGGAAGCACAAAGGAAGAACGACATATCAGACAGACAAAAACAAAACACCACTGACACAAATACAAAATAAAGCACAACTAACACACACAGATAAAACAAAACACAACTAACAGTCACAAACACAACACGCTGACGGACAAGCACCGAGGAGGAACAATATATCAGATACAGACAAAACAAACTACAAAAAAGAACAACAGACCTGGTTGTAGAACTTGTACAGCTCCTCATGAGTAAACTCCAGTCTGATGTTTTCTTTTTTCTACAAAAGACAAAAATGGTTCAGCATTAATTGTTTTTGTTCTGACTACACCGTGACGGTTCTGTGGCCCAACAGGGTGGGATAAGGTGAGGGGCGAATAAATCCACAGCCCCCTAACATACATGTGGTAAAAGGTTACTCATTATTGCTTTGCTAAAATCAGATGTGTTAGGCCGGATGCGTAAATATCGCTGTCCAGCTGAAAACCATAATGCAAGGTGTCAGCTGCTTGTTTTCAAAGCGAACGAAGTGCCACCTGAGCAGTCAGACTTGTGTAGAGTCATAATCACACTAAGCCGGGAATGCAGAGACTGGCCAGCAGGTGTCACAGAGGTGGAAATTCAGCAATTAATTCAAGATAATGTTCGCTCAGAGGATTTGATCATTTACACAGACGGTTCAGTGTCAAGAGATAAAAAAAGAAGTGCTTGGGGCTTTTTAGCAAAAGTTAATGGTCGACGTTTGGTGCAGGAGAGCCTATCATATGATACCACAACATCCAGCTTAAGAATGGAGGTGGAGGCGGTCACTGCAGCTTTCCGCTTGCTAGAGAACACGACACACACACACATTGTAATTGTAACTGATTCAGAAAGCATGCTGAGGAAGATCAGAACAGGTATGCTTCGTGCAGAGTGGCATGCTTCGCTGCGGAGGACACGAGTGAGGAGTATTGTCTGGATTTTTTCACCGGGTCACGCCGGTGTGTTGGTAAATAAACAGGCGGACAAACTGGCCGGCTCTGCACAACTTAGTGGAATACTGCTACATGATAGGGCAGACGTGGTTAGTGCCTTGTGAGAGAGCGTGTACAATGCGGAGGAGCAGATGGATCACCACAGTTTGGTGAGATTGATGCAGTTGGGGGTGACGAGAGGTTCTGGCAGAAGCTCAAGGCTCAGAGGAAAGGCAAGACGGACGTTTAATCAGAAAGCTACTGGCACCATTAGTATCGGAACTCTTCGCTGGCTGCTGAAGATGGGGACGGAGCGCTTATGGGAATGCCCTGAGAGCTGTGATGTCGGTTCTTGAATCAAATCAAATCAAATCAAAGCGAACGAAGAAGACCTTCTGGCTTCTGAGAAGAAATTATTGTTAATGCCCGTTCTTTGATGACTGACACCTGAAAGCGTAATGTCCTTTGTAGGCTACACGTGCATGAATTATCTCTGAAAACTGTAACCTGCACATACACCTGTTCGTGTGTCGCACACACACCCATGCATAAAGCCATAACACATACATGCACCTACATATGTGTGCGTGAGCTTGCACCAAAAACACACACGCAAATACATACTGTGATAGAAACACGTTCTCATCAGGACATACGCGCCAAAGTCTCTCTTTCTTTAGCCAATTCCCCAGCCATATGAGCCAATGCACCTTCAGAGACTTGTACCCACCTTCGCGGAGGTCTGCTTCTGCCTCGTTTTCTGGATAATATACCCTCCACAACCGCCCCCTCCCCAGGTCACCATGACGGTTAATATGGCCGAAATACCTCAGCATTCAGGACAGGATGCTGTCTATGAGCTAGTTCTCCTCGATGTTCAGATCATGTATGATGTCAGTGTTTTACGTCTTCCTGTTCCATGCTATTCTATAACTTTGTATTATTTCATGTCAAAAACTCTCATTTTCTTATTTTTCGTTGACTGTCGTCTTCTTTTTCTGCGAATTGGGGCGGAAAGTCCTGTTTGTTCGTGCGCTGGGACTTTTGGCTGTGTGTCTTCACCTGAGTTTTGCGTGTACATCCGTTTTACTAGCTTGTGTGCAGTTCTTGTTCACTGCCTCTCGGGCAGATGTACTCCAACTTAGGAAAAAAAAATGATTGAGTGATAGTCCATGACTCACATCCATAAGTTACCACGGGAAAGATGTATGACGATCTCAATTTCCGTTTTTTTTTAAAAAACTCGCTGGCAGGAGCTGTACTATAGGTTCTGAGATACAGTACATATAAACGCACATTAATCAGACACACATCTGCGCGCTCTCTCTCTCTCTCTCTCTCTCTCTCTCTCTCTCTCTCTCTCTCTCTCTCTCTCTCTCTCATTTTACTACCCATGCTTTTGTTTTTGACTTGAAATTCATAATATGCATATTTTTACATGAACACAACATGCTTTATTGATAGAATACAACTGATGTGTGAAAGATGGGAGCTTGGAAGGGCCGAATGTAAGACAGGCCAGCGTCCCTAATTTGTGAATCTTTGAAAATAAATAACGTTCGTTCTCTCTCTCTCTCTCTCTCTCTCTCTCTCTTTCTCTCTACCTTTATCACACATGCATGCATGCATGCACGCACGCGCGCACAAAGACGCACACGCACACAAAACACATACAAACATATAGACATACACGTAAAGACACACACCCAGACTAGATATTGCCTGCTTAAAATGTTTCATTTTTACGAACTGCCAAGAAACCAAATATTCTCCAGCCTAAAACACACAATGGCTAGTCACGTCAGCTAGGGGGCAGACATTCAACAAATGTTGATCTTTGCTTCCTAGCACACATTCAAGCTAGTACTGATGAGGTGTCAGCTTCGCGTCATAGGTCACTTTCTATATATCTAAGTCCTTCTGCATCTTTCTCTTCACCGCAAAAGTTCCTCCTCATCCTCGCCCACGAGGCTTTTTAAAACTCATAACTGTTGAGCCAAACATTACTAAACAAGTAAAGATCTCTACTTTTTCTATCGTTCGCCTGAAATAGGTTGTCGATATTAGCAGTTTTGTCTCTTGTATAAATTTCACTGTCGTTGTTAGTTCATTCAGTGGTCCTTATAGTTTACGTTCCACTGTTGTTCTTTCTGGCCAAAAGGTTTGCCTTAATGTGTCAAATTCGGTGCAGTCCTGGAGTACATGCTCTGCTGTCTGGGGCACCTTTCCACAGGTGCACATGGCTGATACACCTATCTTGAATTTTGTGTACATGTGTAAAGATCTCATTTTACGCCTTTAGGCGCAAAGGAAATATGGTAAGAGCACCCATTTTTACTAGGTGGGTAATGTGGTCAGCATTACACCGGTCGTCTTTATTTCTCCAGGATATACATGCTGGTACCCATTTCAGGCTGGGTCGACCTGCGATGCCCCATACCATGATAAAAATCCACGCAGCCAGCAGTGGGTTTCGATCGCGGTACGTTGGAATTACGAGTCGAACTCGCAACGCTTAAGCCACGGGCGCCGCGAGCCAAACATAAATAAAAGCAAATTCTGACCTATAGAGGATATCAGACACAATGTACTTGCATCAGAAATTTGCAACCGGTCGTATAGGCTCCAGACTCTAAACGGGTATACAGCATTAGGAAATGCACCTAAGTTCCAAAGGAAATGAAGATCAACTTAAACAATGCCCTGGGAAGAGCACACATAAGATCTTTACATTCTCTCACAACCCCAAGAACTTCGATCAAGCAGCTGGAGGATGTGAAGGAGATTAACAAGACCTATTCTGGTGTGAACGGTAATGAACTAGCGGACCAAGTGACAAGCAATGCACCATCGCAAGTGTAAATTCCCGTTCCAATTTGATCCTTTTTCAGCCGCCTGTGGGCCTGCTATATGAAGGAAGGTTCCTTGGCTATCTTATTTGGTTTCCTATTGTTTGTGGTGTGAAGTCACACCTGATATTCATGTTCCTTGTCTTCCTAGGTCCTAAGTCCGGTGTGGTATTTGGGGTTCCGGGTCCTGGTCTGGTCCGGCTCTCTTCTATTTCTGTGGGCTTTTGCTGACTGTTGCTAGTGCTTGGTTTAACCTGTGTTGTTCGCTGCGCTGGTGCCCTATTGCCAGGCTCGGCTACGGCTCTGTGAGGCCAAGGGAAACAAGTGGGAAGAAGCAGGGGCGGAGCACATATGGTCAACGCTGTACCGACTAGGCTCATGAATGATAAAGAATCTCTGACACTAACAACGTTGTGTGACATGGGAGTAAAAGATGGTGAAGCAAGTCTATGCCGTCGATGAGACTGTGATAGGAGACATTATAACCAGTTGCTCATGGGAACAATCAGTACTCCTCGGAGTGGCTGCTGCTTTGGAGGACTAGGCGTGCATGGGATTACTTAATGTGCAGTGACATCGACTGTGATAACATGATTTCCCCACAAACGATGATTAAGTAGAATAACCTCATTTAATTTTACAACAATAAATACACGTCTACAGCTGACGGTGAATGCCAAAATACAAATCATAGAGATCAGCTAGTATCAACAACATGTGCAAGACCAGGCTTTGTTTAGTCTAGCCCCGGCTGTTGGGTCAACAAAACAAGTTGTGGGGTCAACAAAACAAGTTATGTCAACGCTGAAACAGCCCAGAACCGCATGTGTGAACGGCCTCTCAAGTTTAATTGCTGTCTGCACTTATTCATCTGACAGCAACACCTCTGTCTGAAAGCAGTATGTTACACTGTGCTGAACCTTCAGCAATTAATGTCTGTCTATCCCCAGATAATGCTTTGTTTTTAATTTATGCAAAACGTTTTTAAATCCTTTCCATTTATCTATCTGCCTTAATTATTGATCGCTGTAGTTTGTATGTATATATTTCTGCACGCCTGCTTCCCTGTAAAATTCTATAAAACATAAGTTTGCCTACTTGCATAGAGCTTCTTGTGTGTTATAAATAATAACAGTAACTAAAATAAAAGATAATTTGTTGCGCCTTCGGGTGTATTGGGCATATAGGGCTAGACCTATATTTTATAGACCAGTGTGGCACTCTGTGGGTGACGTGGTCAGCATTCCACTAGCTGCTTTTACTTCCCATGACTTTACCTGGTATCCATTTAAAGCTGGGTCGACTAGGGAGCTAATATCTGTAATGGTGGCCTTGAAAAATCTAACATTAAAATATCATGATCATCATCAACTGTTTTATGTTGTTATTTTCTTCACTGTTATTCAGCGGAAGGACTGGTGTCGAAGTCATCTGATAATACCATTCCACTGTCTGCTGGTATCGTCATCATAAGCTTCACCAGCATTTTCAAGTGTCATGCTGACCGGCGTCGGCGATCATGCCCCTCCATAGCCTGCAGTCTTCGGTGGCATATATCAGTTCAGGTATTCTCAGGTTTGGTTCAGACTGGCTAAAGACTGGTGATGAAGAAAGACCATTGATGAGACGTCTCCAGTTTTCCCTGTTGTCATCATCTTCATTGTCATGATAATCAAGCTAGCCAGTCCAAAGACTGGTGGTCAAAGTATTATGGTCTATTGTGTTTGTAAATCATTTCTGTGTTTGTTATTTGACCTACGCTTCGTTAATATACATTTCTGTAACCTATGGTGCCATTTCAGTGGTTTGAGATGAATTATGTCCATATTCCATAGCTGTGAATTTCAAGCTGTATGACAGGCATGGCCAATGATTTCTGTTTGGGGGTGCCTAGTTGACCATGTTCTTCGTGGACTTGTTTTCATAGCGAGGTGCACACACCATTTGGAGGTGACAGGTTCAATTCCTGGCACGGTAATTATAGCTTTGAATTTGTACGTTGTCTAGTGTGTTCTTCTATCCTTCTCCTTATTTCTACGAGTGCAATCAATGCATTGTCTGTGTGATGTTTTTTTCTATGTTGTCTAGTGTGTTCTTCTGTCCTTCTCCTTCTACGAGTGCAATTAATGCATTGTCTGTGTGATGTTTTCTTCTATGTTGTCTAGTGTGTTCTTCTGTCCTTCTCCTTATTTCTACGAGTGCAATCAATGCATTGTCTGTGTGATGTTTTCTTCTATGTTGTCTAGTGTGTTCTTCTGTCCTTCTCCTTATTTCTACGAGTGCAATCAATGCATTGTCTGTGTGATGTTTTCTTCTATGTTGTCTAGTGTGTTCTTCTGTCCTTCTCCTTATTTCTACGAGTGCGATAAATGCATTGTCTGTGTGATGTTTTCTTCTATGTTGTCTAGTGTGTTCTTCTGTCCTTCTCCTTATTTCTACGAATGTGATCAATGCATTGTCTGTGTGATGTTTTCTTCTATGTTGTCTAGTTTGTTTTTCTGTCCTTATCCTTATTTCTATGAGTGCAATCAATGCATTGTCTGTGTGATGTTTTCTTCTATGTTGTCCAGTGTGTTCTTCTGTCCTTCTCCTTATTTCTACGAGTGCGATCAATGCATTGTCTGTGTGACGTTTTCTTCTATGTTGTCTAGTGTGTTCTTCTGTCCTTCTCTTTATTTCTACGAGTGCGATCAATGCATTGTCTGTGTGACGTTTTCTTCTATGTTGTCTAGTGTGTTCTTCTGTCCTTCTCCTTATTTCTACGAATGCGATCAATGCATTGTCTGTGTGATGTTTTCTTCTATGTTGTCTAGTGTGTTTTTCTGCCCTTCTCCTTATTTCTATGAGTGCAATCAATGCATTGTCTGTGTGATGTTTTCTTCTATGTTGTCTAGTGTGTTCTTCTGTCCTTCTCCTTATTTCTACGAGTGCAATCAATGCATTGTCTGTGTGATGTTTTCTTCTATGTTGTCTAGTGTGTTTTTCTGTCCTTCTCCTTATTTCTATGAGTGCAATCAATGCATTGTCTGTGTGATGTTTTCTTCTATGTTGTCTAGTGTGTTCTTCTGTCCTTCTCCTTATTTCTACGAGTGCGATCAATGCATTGCCTGTGTGATATTTCCTTCTATGTTGTCTAGTGTGTTCTTCTGTCCTTCTCCTTATTTCTACGAGTGCGATCAATGCATTGTCTGTGTGATGTTTCCTTCTATGTTGTCTAGTGTGTTCTTCTGTCCTTCTCCTTATTTCTACGAGTGCGATCAATGCATTGTCTGTGTGATGTTTCCTTCTATGTTGTCTAGTGTGTTCTTCTGTCCTTCTCCTTATTTCTACGAGTGCAATCAATGCATTGTCTGTGTGATGTTTTCTTCTATGTTGTCTAGTGTGATCTTCTGTCCTTCTCCTTATTTCTACGAGTGCGATCAATGCATTGTCTGTGTGATGTTTCCTTCTATGTTGTCTAGTGTGTTCTTCTGTCCTTCTCCTTATTTCTACGAGTGCAATCAATGCATTGTCTGTGTGATGTTTTCTTTTATGTTGGAGTGTGCCTGTATGCCTTTCTGCGATCACAAAACTAACAGTCTTCACACAAATAAACCAAATCTGTAAAACAGATGTGCATGCAAAACCCAAGCTCTGGAACAAGCCCAAAGTCCTGAAAAACATGAACAACAACATTTCCGCCGGAGTTTACAGCCATGGAATACTAAGAAAAGGAGAAGCAACTTCTCAACATACTGACCCTCGACATCCCCATGCCTATATACAGCAAGAAATGTGTGCATAAAAAGCCTGACTAGTGACTCCAGTATCAGATCTGCTCTTTTTCTTCTTGGCGTTGGATGACCTGCCTCTATAAAACTTACATGTCAGTTGCAGATTATTCAGGTTACCTACAGCTTGCTCTTGGGGCCAGGTTTCTCTTCTCTCACACTTGCAAACTGTGATCTGAGGTGAGTGTGTAAACTGTTCCAAAACAATATCCAAGAAAGTAGTATATGTTGCTGGGAAAGATCTCCTGAAGTATTTCTTTGATACATCGCACATATCAAAACGCCTAACACTTTTATAACAGTGGTGAGGCGTATATGTAATGGATAATCCTCCTTACACATTCCATTCCCAAAAAAAAAATATAAAGTAAAGTTCCCTTTTCTATGTCTTTAGGCGTATTGGGAATAAAGAACTAGACCTAAAGTCCCTTGGCACTCACTGGGGGATGTGGTCAGCATCAGGATGGCCACCTTTACTTCCCAGAAATGCACCTGGTACCCATTTAAGGCCAAACAGTCCGGCTCCGTCAGGACATGAACCCCCGACCTTCCGATCCACAGGGGTTTTAACTGCCAAGACCACGGCGACTGACAAAAGACAAATGTACTACTTACAATTTATTATTACTGTTTACTATTTATTACAAATACGTCCATCAGTTTACGCCTCGAACATGAAGGGGTGGGAGGGGGGGGGGGGGACAACTGCTGCATGCCTTTGCCACTCATGCAGATACTGTAATGTGCTAAAGCTACCAGTTACCAGTACTACACTGCTAGCCGCACTCATACACATTCAACAGCGAAGCGATGAGAAGGAATGCATCACATGATACCCTTCCTTTCTGTGTAATTTTCACCTAACAACTTGCCAAAGGAACATACGTGGATTTTTTTAAGAAAGCTAATGAAAGCAGATAAATAAAAACATCTATTAAGAAAAGACAAGTACTTTTCTTTGGTCATGTGATAAGAGGGGAGGCTATGGAGAATGTTGTCACAACTGGAAAGATCAACAGTAGAAGAGGGAAAGGCAGACCAAGAGAGATGACGGATGGACTGCGACGGTGACATAGAGGGATATCATGGGTGGAACTGGTCCAGAGAACAAGGGACAGAGATTTGTGGAGATGTGTGAATGCCGATGTCGGCAGAGCATGTGATGATGAAGATGATGACCCACACTTACACATGTGGACTGATCACGCATAGGTGTCTTATAGCAACCATATCAGATGAAAAGCTTTAATGCAGGCGATCAAGGGATACACAGTGATATAAATGGGAGGATAAC